CCCCCCCCCCCGCCCACACCCCATTTCAAAATAAAAGCCCCAAAGAGTGAATTCTAACTGCAATGCTTGTGATGAAGCCTGTCATTTAATAACCTCTGTTTATGTGTGTCAAACATTAAGATTATGTCTCCTCTCCCCCTCTCTCCCCCACCCAGTCCTACCCTTTCAAAATAAAAGCCTCATGGATTAACTGTATTTAAACGTTAAGCCCAAAATTAGGCTTTTTTGTTGAAATAATGAATGCTCTTACTAATACTACGACAACTACTGCTACTAATATTTCTAGTATCACTACTACTACTACTGCTACTACTTCTACAGCAACTTTTGCTGTTGCTACTATTACTACTTCTACTACTACTACTGATACCATCACTATTATTTCTACCACTACTGCTATTACTACCACTACCACTACTATTATTACTTATACCACAACTGCTACTACTGCTATTCCTGCTACTACTACAGCTATTAGTACTACTGCTACTTCAAAAACTGACTTTACTATTACTACTACTTATTCTACTACTACTACTGTTATATTAAATACTACGACCACTACTACAGCTATTACTACGACTACTGATACTACTTCTTCTTCTAATTACTAATACTTTGACAACTTCTACTACTACTGCTACTACAAATATCACTACTGCTACAACTAGTACTTATTCAAATGCTACTAATAATTCTACTGCTAATAATACTTCTACAACAACTACAACTTCTACCACTACTACAACAAATACCATTACCGCTGAAATTTTTTTAAGCTACAGAAACCGTTCGAATATCAAAATGTTCAGCTCTTTCAGGAGAGGGGTGATATGACTTCATATTTGTAATCTTTCAACTTTTTGAATTATTAAGCTTTTTGCAATTGTTTTTAAATTGGATATCTATTTTCAGCAATGTTTTTGCAATTCATTTCAGCTTTCAGCATTCCAACGCATTTTCAGCAGGAAATGCATTTTCTAGTTAGCAAATGTTAGCATGGTAACACGGCGCTAAACTAAGATGGTTAACATGGGAAACATTACACCTGCAAAGAATGTTCGCATTGCCATTATTAGCATTAGCATGCTGATATTCGCATTTAGCTCAAAGCACCATTTGCCTATGTAGCGACAGCCTCCCAACGCTGCCAGCATGGCTGTAGACTGTTCTTCTGCTGTTTGTCAAGAAAATCATTCATTTGAAATTGCTAAAGTAGTATCTTTGATTTACAGTGAGCACCACTCTGGTTTCACACTCTTGTTTAAAACAACCAGCACTATATATGATGCAAAGATAAGATCCGCACAAGTTGTTGAAC